CCTGCTGCATTTATTTGGAACACGAAAGCATACTCTAGTGTCCTTATTGCTGTAACCAAACACAAACAAGGTAGGAACACAGTTTTGCCATTAGTCCCTGCAATACATCTTCGCCACAGACACGCATGCCTGTAGCCAATGTATAATACGATTATCATCACTACATTCGCCACCATACATAGAAGAACGCTAAAAATCCTATCCCGCAATGTCATGATGATGATAATTGTCAGGTGAAGCAGTGAAGTGAGTAAATGACTAAGTGGCCCGACGTCTGATATAAGATTTCCAGCTGCAGACGGGGTTTTATAACTGTCAAAAGGACCAGTCCGGTTTCGGAATCAATCAAGATACTATTTCACTGGGTTCTGAAAACTATTTGAAAGCAAAGCAAGCGAAATGTGAAACTGAACACACTCACAGATCTGGTATCAAGCCTCAGACATTTCACACTGGAGTAAACTTTAACTTTATTATAACAACAACAACAACAATAATAATAATAATAATAATAATAATAATAATAATACGTCGGCAGGGACGAGTGCAGGAAATTAAAAAGAATGAGTCTGCAGAACCCTCCAATGGCATAACGTCCATAAGAATTTCATAAGACCCCGTCTAGCCATTTTCTAGATTTTGAATACATACAGATATCAGGGCGATGACGTTTAAAGATGCGTGATAAGCATGCGCAGATGACCATGGGTAAATGCGTCATCACCCTACCTCACGATTTTTGAGCAACAGTCACTGTGATATTAACAATGATAGGAATTTAAAAAGTATTAGTTCTGAGTTGTCTACGATGGCATAATTTCCATAACATAAAAATCGTAGTAATCTTCTAGTTATTAAATGCATACGGACGGATATCACGGGCGATGACGTCATCAGAGGCGTGATGCGCATGCGCTGGGTAATGGCGTCGTCTTTGCTTAATTACGAAAATCGTTACACGTTAACAAGTTTTCGTATGTATAATACATAGCAGGCAGTGGATGAGAGAAGAGTGTCGTATTTCGGTGCATTGTTTCTACAGAGCAGCTGATAAAGATGAAAAGTAAGTAGTGTTGCGTTAAAAAATCAATTTTAATTATATTTGCTTACTTAAAGAATATTACGATTTCATGTACCACCATCTCAAATATAATCTTATATCGGGGCTATAATAACTGTGCTGCGTTGTAGTTTGTGTACACAGCAGGCATCACTTAACAATATTACCGCTGCAAGAGTTATATTATTCCACAAAGCCTAAAATCCCACAACAACAAATAACCACCATGCCATGGACACGGAAACAACACGCACTTTCATAAATACAATCATGTATTATTATATTGTTATGTAAGACACAAAATAAAATCCATTGACAACCGCACGTGACAGCCAACCATCCAACCAGGAAACACTCACTTCTTGTAACAGAAACTGATCTTCCTCCTGCAGCTGATGCCTAGTAACATACATTACGCGGGCCATTCAAGTCAGTCCAACATATTTAAAAAATAAGTAATCACTTATCGCCCGTTTTATTAAATTACGTTCGAAGTACCATGTTAGCTACCTTACGGAAATAAAGTCTAATACATTCCTACTTACTTGCGCATCTATGTTTAACAACTTCTTACCAACCTTACCTTAACCGGAAATATTTACATTTCCAAGTAATAACATTATAAACTGCCTTTCAACCAAGATACTCCCATATGTGGAAAATCTTTATTATTAGTCACGACTTTCTGTTAATTTCTCATAAAGGTGGCACCACTGAATATATCTTCTTTGTTAGTAACAATAGTCTATTAGTTCCTTCGGTCAACTCGTGCGGAGAGTACTCCGGGGTGCATGGTCTTGGAAATATCTTTTAACGCCAAACTTTCCTGTTGCTAGCGACAGTCGACCAGTTCGTTTCAAATGCGTCAACACTGATATTATGTACATATAAACATCTCTATAACGAACTAGTGTTTGTGTGGAATTCTCATGGTCATTGTTCAGAACTATGCAACAGTGAGTGAATTTCCATAGCGACAGTTGTCGGAAGTCCAGCTGTAGTTCCATGATTCAAACTGTTTTATCGGCTTTGGTTTCAATGAATTCATACATAAATACGGAACGTAACAACACACATTGTTTGGGGGACCAAAGCAGCGTCAGTATTTCACAGAAGACTGGGCAATGGTTGTATCTTGTAACGTGCAACGACATTCTAAGATGAGATAGAACTCTACATAGCACTCAAGAGCCGAAGTACGAGAATAGAGACTTTCTTGAGAAGCAAACAGTCGCTCAGTTGGTCAGGAGACTCCCAGCATTTTATGGATTCCAAATGTTCATTGCCGTTTCCAGGGAAGCCCTTATACTGCCCCCTATTCTGAACGAGAAAATCCAGTCAACAGCATCTTATTTTTTAGATTTACTTTAATATTATCCTACATCCCGTGCATAGGTATCCCAAGCGGTCTCTTCTCTTTAGGTTTTCAAACTAAAATAAGTGCATTTCGCATTGATCGCATGCGCCCTACATAACCCGCCCATCACATCTTTATTTCCATCCTCTTAATAGTGTTTGATGAGTAAAAATTATGTCGCTCCTCACTGTGCTATTTTCTTCATAATCCTTTTATTTTCCCCTCCTTAAGTTCAAATATCGTATTCAGCAACCTGCTCCCAAACACTCTAAATCTGTGTTGTCCCATGCTGTAAGAGACAAAATTTCACACAAACAAATAGGCATAATTAGACTTACAGTTTTGTGTATTTTAATCTTGACAGCTGAGTGTCTAGAAGATAAAGGATTCTGAACCAATTGGTAGCAGGCACTCGCGTAATTTAATCTTCAGTTATATTAATTTCTTTGTTGATGCAATTTAGATTTTACTGCCGTCCGCAAATATATAAAGTCTATCGTAATTTTGGATTTTTTATCAGATCGCTTCACATTATTATTTTGTCCTTCACCCTATTGACGAAAAATAAAACTTATTTTAGTTTTCTTGGTAGTTAAATGAAATTACCGCTTTTAACTTATCAGATAAGGATTTGATATTTTATTTCTAATGGTATTCGCTTGTATTATTTAAGAAATAATAATACGGACCGTAGTCGATAATAAGCACGAGAAGCACACAGCTAAAGAAAGAAAGAAAGAAAGAAAGAAAGAAAAATTAAAAGGAGGAAAAGCAAAATAGGGCACATTCATAAGGCAGGTTTATTACGCGTAAGCAAATATGATATAGACGTCATATGCGTCGCCTCGAGAACGTGATATCTCACCTCGGACACACACGCATCTTCATGTTGTATTACTGATGCGACTACTTGTAATGACGCAGTTTTGTCTTAATTATCTTCAAGGATGGTACGAATAAAGTATCAGTAGTGCCACGTGAGACGAGGCCATAGTTAGGTACGGAGAACTGACAGGAAGAAGTTGCCCACTTGAAGGGCCTGAGTAAACCCGAGAAAGATCTTGGGCAGGACAGCCGGTACTGTGGACGAAAATTGAAGCGAAATTTAGGAAGCCAGAGTCTGCTGCGTTATCCATCGTCTCTTTCCATCAGGTTTCCATACAGGACATTCTTAGTTATCTCCGTGCTACACATACACTAATATCCTTGCCAGAAAATATTTAGTGAACAGTAGAAACGTCTTTTCGTATTTTTCTGTAATCGTACTACATGCACTATTCATTGGGCTCATCGTCTTTCAAGAGAAACAGACACACAGCGTGGGCACATTCGGTACCAGGCCGAAGACTTGGTAGGTCGGCTTCATGCATGGCATTTGTTTACGGCCAGTCTGGATGCATTGGTAGAGATCTCGTGATTTAAAAATGATGTGTACGTTTTTATGGTTCTCGTAACCTCGCAACTTGTTGAGGGTGGGTCGCGTAGCAGGAACTACCAGGTTGATTCAAAGGTTAGAAGTTTTCGTTGATGTGCGTGTAGAAATTGCTCAGGCAACGAACGAGTTCGTCGGTGGGCGAATTAGGCAAGCCCTCACAAGAAGTGAACCAGATGGAAAAAT